CACTTTGTTGAGGTCTGCCAACGAATCATTTATTTTTTTTCCTAGCCTACTCTCTTTTCTCCACTCTAACTTGTTTCATAGTCGTTGTTCATAGCCTACTAGTCAAGTCTTGTCACATTTTATTAATTTCTCAAAGACTACATCCCTTTGTTTTTCGGTCCTACAACATAGCCTTCCAAAGCCGGCCCTAGATCCAGCTACATCCATTATTTTTCATAGCCTACTTGTCAAGTCTTGTCATAGTTCATTTTAACCTACTTGTTCATAGCCTACTCCTATCACGTGTACTACCCACTTACCATCTTCAAGGCTCTCTCCCATCAAACACGTGAGCTCAAAGCCTTGCATACATCTGCGTTAACATAAATTGGGCCTTCTTGTTGGGTCTTGAGCGTTGTGCTTGTTTGTTGGCCTGGCTATTCCAAGTTGATCATCTCCAATCCAGACAGAAACGACGTCGAAACTTCAACAACTGATTCTTCGGTCAACACCGCTAAGTGACAATCTCGCTTTAATTAGAGCTTCATTTCTCAACTTACAAGAATCAAGTTCATTTTAATTAATTAATTAATTTAGCTTTATTATATTTTAGTATAATTGTCAAAATATCAACCTTATACATATTTTAAAATTAAATTTAGTTTTAGATCTTTACCGAATGGCTAGTAAACTCATTTTATCAGAACTAGGAAAAATTGATAAATTTAATGGCAGTAATTATGATATGTGGCATAGAAAAATAGGATATGCTCTTATTTATGACAACATTGATGATTTAATCGAAACCACTGCTCTAACCCTTACTGATAAATTAACACCTGAAGAAAAGAAAGGGTTTGAACAGTGAAAGTCGAAAGATAAAAAAGGCGAAAAGCCTTATGCTCATGTTCATGGAAGATAACTTAATCAAAGTTTTTGAAACTTATGAGACTTACATAGACATATGGAATGCAATAAAAGAAAAATACAACACTGTTTCTGAAGTTAACATTCAACTCCTCTTGCATAAGTATAATTATTATCATATGCAAGAGGGAGACAATGTCGTAGAGCATATAAATAAAATAATTATCATGGCTAAGGACTTATCCACTGCTGGGACCAAAATCCCGAAAAGAATGAAAGTGGCAACCATTCTAAATAGTCTTCCCCCTTCACTTGTTATGACTGCCACCACATTAAGAATGAATCCTGCCATTAAGTCTGTTACTGATCTTCCTATGCACCTAGTGATAGAACAGGACTTAACAGCCAGTTGGAAAGAACCAGAACTAAATATTATGCAGCAAGAGCTGAATTATGTCCGTCAGAGGTATAATGCTAGAAGCTATAAAAACTCTGGTTCTAGTAAACCACAATCATGAGGACCGAAATCGTAGCAGTTCAAGAGAAAGAAAGTACTCCGCAGAGCCTGCTACAATTATGAAAAGTTCGAGCATTTCAAGCCCAATTGCCCCCAAGGTGAAAAGCAGGAGAATAAGGGAGGCTATAAGCATCCAGAACAAAGGGGTACTAGCAAAAGAGAATTCGTCAGTATGACGGAATGTAATGCTATGATGACAGATATCGGTGGTTGGTGGATCGACTCCGGTGCGACTAGGCATATCGCAAAGGAAAAGAATGGAGTCGTAGAATTCACCGAGCTGAAGAAAGGAGAATAGAGAATCTACATGGAAAATAATACATATCTTAATGTAGAAGGTATTGGTTCGTATAGATTGGATCTTGGGGACAACATTCTTGTCCTCAAAGATGTGTTTAATGCTCCAGGAATTCGGCGCAATCTGATCTCGGTTCCCAGCTCGATGAAGAAAGGACTGGAAGTGAGGTTCTATAATAACAGTGTTTCTATAGGCAAGAATAATAAAGTGTATGTTATGGGAAAATATGTGCCCGAGCATGAATTATGCATTCTTCCAGTAGTTTGTAATAATTCTGATAATAAAATTTTGAATTTGAACTACTTGTCTTGTTATATTTCTGAATCTGAATTGTGGCATTCTAGACTAGGACATGCTAGTATTTCAAAAATGAAAGAAATTAGAAGCTTTTGACTGCTTTAAGAGATATAAGACAGAAGTTGAAAACCAACTTGGATTAAAAATCAAAATTCTGAGAACTGATAGAGGTGGAGAATATAATTCTAAAGAATTTAAAAGTTATTGTATTCAACATGGAATTAAAAGGCATACAAGAATGTCGTATACGCCACAACAGAATGGTGTTGCTGAAAGAAAGAACATAACATTATTAAATATAGTTAGATGCATGTTGTCTCATTCTGGTCTCTCTAAAAAATTTTGGGGAGAAGCATTATTAACTGCAAACTATATTTTAAATAGAATTCTTACCAAATCAGTTGTATCTACTCCTTATGAATTATGGAATGGGAGGAAACCTAATTTGAGTCATCTCAGGAAGTGGGAATCTATAGCTCATGTTCTCATTCTATGTCAACTTAGAGATAAGTTGGATTTTAAAATAATAAAGTGTAGATTCATAGGGTATTCAGAAAAGTCAAAAGGTTATAAATTCTACAATAAAGAAAAAAGAGTCATTAAAAGCAGAGATGCTACATTTCTAAAGAATATAGAGGAAGAGGAACAAGTTCGAGAGGAAACAAAACCTCTAACTATAATAGATGATGATTATTACAGTATTGTTCCCACTAATAACCCTGATATTGTGAATGAACCTAACCTTAAAAATGATAAAAATACCTATGAAAAATAATGTACCTAATCAACCGGTTGTAGGCAACAAAAGGCCAAGAACACAACCTTCATGGATGAATGATTACTATTTATATTTATGTGAGCCATCCTGTTTCTCGGTAGATACAAATATAGAAGAACAAGATCCCTTAACCTTTTCTGATATGATAAATCGCATGAATCAACTTTATGGCTAGAATCTATGAGAGAAGAACTTAATTCTATAGAAAAGAATAAGGTATGGGAGTTATGTGATCTACCAGAAAATAGAAAAGCCATATGATGCAAATGGGTGCTCAAAAAGAAATATCATGTTGATGGATCTATTGATAAATTCAAAGCACGGTTAGTTTTCAAGGGTTACAACCAAAATGCAGAAATAGATTTTGAGGAGACGTATTCTCATGTAGCTAAATTTGTATCCATTAGAATTATTTTGGCTATTGTTGCATATCTTGATTTGGAGTTATTCTAAATGGATGTTAAAACTGTATTCATTAACGGAGAGTTGAATGAAGCAATATATATGCAACAACCTAAAGGTTTTCAGGTGAAAAAACAGGAATATAAAGTTTACAAATTAATAAAATCTCTATATGGTTTAAAATAGTCTTCTAGATAATGGTATCTCAAATTTCATGATGCAGTTACTAAACTTGGTTTTATTCAAAATAAATTAGATAATTGTGTATATGTCTTGAAAAGTAGGAGCAAGTTTACTATATTATCCTTATATGTGGATGATATATTGCTCGCTGAAAATGACATAGAAATGTTGAATATAACCAAGGCAGATCTCAACGAAAAGTTTGAGATGAAAGACATGAGAGATGCATCATATATTCTTAGAATTCAAATAATTCAAGATAGAAAGTCTAGAATGCTAAGTTTAAACCAAGAAAAATATTTAAGATTAGTTCTTAAAAGGTTTGGAATGGAGAATTCCAATCCGGCACCAACTCTGTTGGTTATGGAAAAGAGATTATGTAAAGAGCAAAGCCCTGGAGAGGGACAGAAGCCATTAGATATTCCTTATGCTCAAGCAATTAGAAGCTTGATATATGCAATATTGTTCACCAGACCTAATATAGCTTATGCTGTGGGTCTAGTCAGTCGATATCAAAGTAATCCAGGACTAGCACATTAGGAACCTGTTAAAAAGATTATGAAGTATATCAGAGGTACATTGACTCATAGGTTAGTTTATCAAGCTGATTCACTTAAACTCCTCGGTTATTCTGATGTTGATTTCAGAGGTGATAAAGATGATGGAAAGTCCACTTCGGGACACTTATTCATCTTTGGAAGAGGAGCTGTTTCTTAGAGTAGTAAGAAACAATGGTGTGTTGCTAGATATACGCAAGAAACTGAATATATAGCTTGCAGTATGGCAACTACACATGTTGTCTGGATAAGATGGTTTTTGATTGATCTTGATCTCAATTTGTTAGAAAGACCTATTGATATTTATTGTGATAATCAAGCAGCAATTAGCTTAATTAATAGTGACGCGAATAGCTCCAAAGGAAAACATATTGAGATCCAGTATCACTATATTCGAGATATTGTAGAAAAGGGAGAAGTCAAAGTGACTTATATCCCTACTACAGATATGATTGATGATCCTTTGATAAAAGGAATATCAGCGGAATCTTTTATCAAACATGTAAGTTTGATGGGACTTAAGAATAAATAAGTCCAAGTAACATTTCATGAATAATGATATAAGAGTTACTCTCTACGGATAGTGGGTGTAATGGTAAGCAGAAACATCCGATCTCACGGATAGTGGGAGGCATGTCACTTGGTTAATTTGGTCAAGTAGGAGATGTTAGCTTGACTCGGTCATTGATGACCAAATCAACCACGGTTTCTCTGTTGAGAGAATGGTGGTTGAGAGAAAATCTCTCATGGGGACGGATCTGAGGGGTATAGATGATAGGTTTAGCCCCTATATAAGGAGGACCATTCTCCTTGAGAAAACACAACGAAAAGAAGAGAAAACTCACTTACCCATTACCGGAGCCACTCAGAAATATCAGTTCTTTTTTTCTTCTCTTCTCAAAGTTCGATCAATGCTGCTATAAAACAAAAAATAATCAAAAGTCTACTATGTTTAACACCCAAACTATCTTTCCAGAAAAAGAACCACTAAAACAACTCCAAAGCCAGAGAATCACTAAAAAAACTTTAATCGAATAAAAAACATCAGAAAAAGATAGAAATTCATACGCTAAACTTTCCATAATTAACTGAGACCCCCTAAATTCGCAAAACAAGAAGAAATTTGAGGAGTAATGGGTCAATTGTACAAATTAAAATCACAAGCTTTTGTAGATTTCTCTAATGGTACATTCTCACTCCATGGCTGCAAAAGCACTCCATATAGTACTCTGCAATTACAATGCTCAAACGACAAAGACACCTAGAGAAGTACTATAACAACAACACCACAAAATTATGCAAACACATATTCTAATTTAAATCCAAGAAGGTCTAGCTGAATTGGTAAGCTGCTTATGAAAAGTACTCCAATGTACTAGGTTCAATTCCTCTGAGAAGCACAATCAGCCATTCACGTAACGCAACCAACTTCAACGGAGTATGTATCTATGGTAAAGCAAAGTCGCGAAGGGAATCTATGCAGACGAGCAAAGCTTCCCATCAGAAGGTGACGTGAGCTCATGACGAGTGAGAGAAGTTGTGCATCTTGGGCTCGAGAGATAACCGCAGTAGTTCCTCCCTTCCCATTTATCAGCATCACGGCACCATAAACTCCAGTTTCCTGAGCTCGCAGTCATGATGCACGTAGATTGCGCCAAATACAATTGGTACGCTTTTACTATCACTTTTGGACGCAAATTCACATCTGAAACAACATTAAATCCCAAAGAAGGCTGTAAGTGCTTCAAACCAATATAAACCATCAGAAAAAAAGATTGAATTTCACAAAGCTTAGTTTCCCAAATTAAATCAACTCAAACTCGTGGAAACAAAAGAGAAAACAAAGGGTAAAGCAAAGAAGAAGAGATATTAGGAAATCTAGGCATGAGCTGTTATCTGAATCTTTCTTTAGATTTTTCGAATAATAGCTTCTAATTACACCATTTTGGAGGCCACATAAGGGAGAACAATAATAAAAAATCATATTCGGAAATAAAATAGTCGCTATATATACGATTCCAATGGAGTTACCAGTTAACTAACTAAAAGGAATCTGAAACAAATATTATCAAGGGTAAATCTCGAATGATAAACCCTCTATATCCCATCGTCCATAAAATAAAATATGAGAGGGAGGGAGGGAGAGGAGCGCACCTTTACGATGTGATTGCAAGAACAAGAGACTTCCAGTATACGTTTCTCTATTTTTCGGCATATTCTAGACTGTAGGTGACTTATGATCCATCTTTATTCTCATTGATTATAAAACTATAATTTATTTGGTTCTCGCTCAAGTTTGAAGAACCAAATGGAAAATACGGTAGAAGATGAGAGAACCACAACTCCTAAATAGAGGACGCATTTGATCAAATTACAGAGTTAACCTTTTCCTTTTGAAATTTTTTGCGCGTTAAAGCTACCCTTGGAAATAACACGCGGCATAGAAAGAGCAAAAATGGTTGGAGAGGAGCGAATACCTTCGTTTGAGTTCTTTAACATGCGTTACTTTCAATCTTTTTTCCGACTTTTCTTGAAACTGGTGTGTAACGTTAACTCCACAAATAACACGCGGCATAGAAGGAGCGAGAATGCTTCACGAGGAGGAGCTAGCGTATACCTTCATTTGATTTCTTTAACAAGGGTACCTTTCAATGTGTCTTCTACTTTTCTTGAAACTTAGTGTGTAATGTTACCTCTGCAAGTAACACGCAGCCTATAAGGCGCTATAACGCATCAAGAAGAGAGTAGTCCACTTCATGTACGTTACTTTCCAATGTTTCTTAGGGTGTGTTTAGCAAATCCAAAAAACTAGGCTAAGTCTAGTCCTGGTCTAGTTTTTGGGTGTTTTCTGTTTGGAAAAAAATGGGCCAACTCTGGCCCAGTTTTTCCTAGCTCATTTTTTGCCTTTAAACCAGGTCAGAGTTTATCCTCCTCCCCCTAGATTAATCCTGACCTAGTTAAGAGAAAACTCAAAACTAGCCTGGTTTAGATCTGATTGCCAAATAGACCGTTAAATATTTTTTTTTTAAATCTAGACAATATTATCAAGCTGCCCTCATTTAAAAAGTTACTACTGTAAATAATTTGGCATAAAAGAGTTAAAACGCTCCACATGTAGTTTACTTTAACTTATTGGCATGCATACTTTAAATGTGTCTTCCACTTTTCTCTAAATTTGTTGTGTAATGTCATTCTCGCAAATAATATATGGCCTTCAAGGAGCTACAATACTTGAAGAAGAGAGCAGTTTCCTTGTGTCTTTATTGGACTCTTTTCATGTGTCTTACGTGTTACACACCGTGTGGAAGCGTGCTCGACAACCTAACGAGTCGGTGAGCGATGAGAGAAGAGAACCAAACCAAATTACGAGTATAATTCACCAAAATACGACACAAATCAAACCAAACACAGAAATTTATGTGGTTCGGCAATTGCCTACGTCCACGGGGAGAGGATGGGGAGATTTCATTATATGGAGGAGAAATACAACATGTTACAACTCATAAAATTACTTAAATATAGCCCTAACCAAAGCTCTCAACTCCCTCAAAGTATCTCCCACTCAAAGTTCTCAAAATAATGCTAATTCTCTCCTTAAGAAACCCTAAAAATGTATTTCTATTTATAATAAAACACAATCTCAAACATGATAGAAATCTGAAAACGAGTCCGTCACATCGGGGTGTGGCACGCACCACACCCTTAAAAACAGGTCAGATTCTGCCACACATAGGTGTGGCAGACACCCCACCCCTAACAACAGGGGCAGATTCTACCACACTTGGGTGGGGAAGACACCTACCGAATCTTCATGTTTGCCAACACTTTGAACAATTTGACGTCGTTTTCTACAATTCTCCATCTCGGTGAAGTATTCCCAAAACTCAGCCGACACTAACATGAGCACCAATGCGTTATCTCACCAAATACGACTGCACCAATATGGTTGCCTACGTACCCCCCTCTCCCAAGGGATCAAGCTGCTCATAGTTCATCCAAATAGTCACGAACGGCCTCAATAATCACGAATTTACAACAAGTTTCTACAATGATAGAACTTGTTGCTCGGAACCACCTTTGTGAGCATATTTGTTAGATTGTCTTTTGTGTGGACCTTCACGAGCTCCACATCTCTATCTTCAAGAACATCTTGAATGAAGTGATAATATACGTCGATATGCTTCGTCCTCACATGAAAGACCTAATTCTTCACTAAATAAATAGCACTCATGCTATCACAATAAATGATGATGGATCACTGCGAAACATCAAGATCCTCCAAAAGTCCTCGAAGCCAAATTGGCTCCTTAACAACCTCCGTAATCATCATATACTCTGCCTCCATTATAGACAAAGCCACCATAGACTGCATGGTGCATCTCCAACACACTGACGCACGGGTCAAAGTGAACACATACCCTATCGTCGACCGGTGTTTATTAAAATCTCTAGTGTAATCCAAATCTACGTATCCAATTCATAGCTTCCCATTGCTAGTGTCCTACTCAAAAACCAAACCAACGTTGAGAGTACCTTAAATATACCTCAAAATCCATCTCACAACATACCAATGACCCAGACCTGGGTCGTACATGTATCTAGAAACCATGCTCACTGCATGTGACAAATCAGGCCTCGTACAAACCATGGCGTACATCAAACTCCCAACTGCACTCGCATATGGAGTCTTCGACATCAACTATCTTTGGTGAAAGGTCAGTTGAAAGTTTTAAATGGGCTCCCAATGGTACACTAACTGGCTTCATTTCTATGCTCACATTGAACCGCTATAGAACCTTCTTCAAATAAGCCACATGTGTCAAACAAATGTCATTGTCTTTGTCTCTGCCTCTCCATCCCCAAAATACACTTAGCTTCACCCAAATTCTTCATCTTGAACTCGCTCAAAAGCTGAATCTTCAATCTATCTATCGCGGATCTGGAAGTAGAAGGAACTAACATGTCATTGATATAAAGCAATAAATAAATGTACTCACCTCCATTCAACTTATGGTAGTACATGCAAGAATCAAACTAGCTCCTAATGTACGAATGACCGATCATGAACCCATCGAATTGCTTATACCAATGTCGAGGAGATTGCTTCAAACCGTATAGTGGTTTCTTTAATCTACAAACCAATTTATCCTTCCCTGTAGCTCGGAATCCTAATGGATGAGTTATATAGATTTCTTCATCAAGATCACCATGAAGAAATAATATTTTTGCATCCAACTGATCTAACTCTAAACCATACTATGCCACCAAAGCTAGCAAAATCCGACCGAAGAATGCTTCACTATCGGAGAGAAAACCTCATTATAATCAATACATTCCACTTGTGCATAGCCCTTCGCAACCAACCTAACTTTGAACCTCACGGGAGTGCCTTCAATGCCCTCCTTCTTTGTATACACTCATTTGCAACCAATTGCCTTCTGTCCTTTTAGAAGCTCGACAAGCTCCTATGTGTCGTTCCTATAAAGAGACTCCATCTCCTCCTACATAGCCACCTACCACAAATCAGCCTCTGAACTCTACTTGGTCTCTCTAAATATAGTAGGAACCATCTTATCGACACTCTCCACCGGAAGTGCACACGTAACAACTGTGTCTGTATTCCTAGCTGGCATCCGTATATCTCTCATTTATCTCCGAATCGTAATAGAATCCTGAACCTGAGCCATCGGTCCCTGATCATGCTCAACTGTACATGTATCCTCTAAACCATCACCGTGTTTGCCTGGTGTCATCTCAGTCAGCACTCTAATGGATATGGTTCCATCTGGACAATGTGGAATTGTATCAATCTCTACCACTTGCGATGTCTCCAATGTCGGGTCGCTCTCCACCTGATGAGAGCTGGGAAGCTTCAAGATAGAAGCCTCATCGAATGTGACGTCTCTACTCAGCATAATCTTCTTATCAACTGGATCCCAAAGTTTGTATCCCTTGACACCGTACTTGAATCCCACAAATATGGTCTTTCTAGCTCGAGGTTTCAATTTATCTGTTCTAACATGATAAAATGCAGAGCACCCAAATACCTTGAGCAAATCATAGTTGTGTGTTGGCTCTCCCAACCACATCTCCATAGGGGTCTTTCCCTTAATCGCAAATGAATGCATCCTATTAATGAGGTGTCTCGCATAAGAAAAAGTGCATCAGCCCAAAAGATCTTCTCCAAACCACTTTGCAATAATAAACATCGGATCTTCTTCAATAAAGACCAATTCAACCTTTTTGCCACCCTATTCTGCTGTGGTGTGTGACTAACTATGAAGTGCCTCTCTATGCATTCGTCTCAACATAGCTGATGAAATGGGTCAGAAGTATACTCACCGTCGTTGTCGGATCGTAACGTCTTGATCTTTCTCCCAGTTCGCAGTTCCAATCTCTTCTTCCACTTCATAAATATCTCTAGGACTTCATTCTTCTTCGTCATGGTGTACACCCAATAACGCCTAGAATAGTCATCTACAAACGTGATGAACCAATATCGACCACCATGTAATGTCATCTTGGTGGGACCCCAAACATCTGTGTGCACGTAGTCCAACATGCCCCTCGTCCTATGGATGGCTATCCCAAACTTCACTTTCGTCTTCTTTCCAAAAACACAATGCTCACAGAACTCAACTTTCCCACTCTTGGCTCCCTTCAATAGTCCCTGTTTGCACAAAGTTTGGAGTAACTTCTCACCTATATGCCCCAACCTATAGTTTCAAAGCCTACTCGCATCCGCCTCTAAAATAGCTGAAGCTACCTAGGTAATCTTGGTACTCCCCTTCAGATAATATAAATTTCTACTACGAACTCCCTTCATCACCATCAAAGATCCCTTAGTAACCTTCGCTACAGTGTTTTAAAGGTCACCTTGAATCCCTTTGCCTCCAAAGCTCCAACATAAATAAGATTCTTCTTCAACTGAGGAACAAATCTCACTTCATTCAATTCACAAACTACTCTATCGTGCATCTGAATTCTGACGGTACATATCCTACAAATGTTATAAGATTGATCATTTATCATGACTACTACGCCCCCATCGAGTTTCTCGAACGATGCAAACCAATCTCGCCGGGGAGTCACATGATAAGTAGCACCAGAATCAAGCATCCAATCAATACATCCACATGGTTGACCTCTAGAGTAATCAATAGAGAAAAGTACAAATCATCAGAATCATCACCTCTCGCGATGTTCACCTCATTAGCCTTTGGGCCCTTCTTCTTGCTATTCTCCTTCTACTTGAGCTTCAGGCAATCTCTCTTCCAATGTCCTTATTCCTTGTAGAACGCACACTGG